GGTGTCCCCGCCCTGGCTGTGCTGCACCACCCCCCCCCCAGCCCCTCTGCCACAGCCAGGCCAGCCCTGGCCTGGGGTCGGGGCAAACCCACCAAACCCAGCGTGCCTCCTCCCACCCATCCTTCATCACCTCGACGCTCGGGCTGCCCAGCAGCCACGAGCTCTGCCCAGCAGCCACGAGCTCTGCCCTGGCCCTGCGTGTGCCGGGAGCCCTGGCCGAGCGAGCCCTCCCGTGGCTTTCCCCCCGGACGGCAGCAGCCGAGGCTCTGGAGAGGACCAGCCACGTTCAGGACTGTGCCTGCTGTGCTACTCTCATTTTGTGCCACCCCCTGCCCCATTTGTCACCTCTCTGTGTCCCGAGAGCTCTCCAGGCAGGTAACAGAAGGAAACTGGAGGAAGGCAGCTGGTAAGCACATGCAGAGGAAAAGAAAAGGACAAAGAGACAGTTAACCTGAGTATCAGAAAATGCTACAAAACTTGGCGTGTGCTTCTTACAGCCTTTGGCACCAAACAAACAGGCGAGGACAGCAGTAATAAAGCCTAGGAAACTCCTGTGCAAATACAGTTGAAACATTTCTACTCACAACCCCAATTTGTAAGCCTGCAAGACGCATACTGAACCACACAGCCCGAACAGTCCACTTGCACCCCGCGAGAGACAGGGAACCAAGGAAGAGGAGGGCAGTGATGGTGTGTAGATACCTAGGAGCTACTTTCAGATTTCAGGGCTAGGGGAAGCAATCTCACATACATCCAAGAGAGCACTTTATCAAGCTGACTCCAAAGGAGTCAAGTGATTGGTTTTCAATGTGGTGTTTTCAGCAAATGGAAGGGATCCACCTCCCACCCTGATCTCAGGACTGAATAACCAGTAGGAGACTTTGGGGGGAAAAAAGCACAACCCTGAATATTTCACTTTACCTCCTGCAATGGGGGGACATGAGGACACCCAACCACAAACACTGAGTTTGTGACTGATGTGTGTCTTCCATGTACACACATCCAGTTACCTACTCATCAGCATTCAGTGGAGCAGGACAGGAAGGTGAGACAAGCCAAAGAACTACCTCCTTCCACATCCTTGTGAGGACACCAGGCAGGCAGGCAGGCTGGGCCAGCCTGGGGCTCTGGCTCTGCCGCGAGGCAGCGGAGAGGCTGTCCTGCCTGCACAGCACCAGCTCCTACAACATGGGAGTGACACCTCGTCCTCAGTGAGCACCCACATCTCCTCCCCATCACCGCTCCGAGGTCCTGAGCGGCAGGACGGGGTCCTGCCCGTAAGGCTCCGTGGTGGGCAGTGCAGCTCCCTGGGAGGGCAGCCAGCGGCTCCTGCAGCTCTGCTGGGACGCAGCTGGGGCAGGGGAGCTTCTGCAAAGCTCAGTGCAGGTAGCAAAACTTAAAGAGCATTAGGTTACAGTCATTCCATAAACTAGCGTTGTAAAAAACAACGGGTCTGAGGGAGTGCGTGTTGTCTCTGCTACAAAAATCCAAGAGGAAAAGACAAGGTATTTTCAGACACAAATCCCAATTCGTAATTAAATCAATGTGCCGCACCTCAGTCAACTGTGCAAGTCATCTCAACACTCCACACGTGCCAGAGGATCAGCCAGTCCCTTTCTTGCACTGGAGGCTCCGAAGTGCTGCGAACACCGGCTGTGTCCCTGCTGGGCACCCCCCACGCTCGGGCTTCTCACACACCAGTATGTTCTCCACATCTTTAGCTGGGACGCTACATTTCCAGTTTGCTATTTTACATTAATGGCACTTACTGTAAAAAAAATTAAAATTGAAAATGGACCATTTAGGCACACAAAAAATAATCTGCCTTTCATTTCTGCAGCTGCATAGATGCCTGCCAGGTCCCAAGCCACAGCTGTGCTCTCAAATTCTGGGCCACAGCCCCTTCAGGCTGCGGCTGCTTTATTTTTGTGATTAATAAAGGTAGTTTTCACCTAGGAAGCAACAACTCGACTATTTCCAGCAGGTGATCTGGATATTAGTATGTCTTGGTTTTTAGGCTCTCAGGTCTGCTGCTCCTGCCTGTCCCACTCCACCAGAGGACTGGAAAGGCAAAGCCAAAGTGCAGAATGACAGCATGTCCCAGCCCCCAAGACAGGGACAGCGATTCACAGGGGATTTCTCTTTCCATTCCAGGAGCCATTTCCCAGGACAAAATCATGCTCACGGTTTGTTTTTTCCATTTTCCTCGAAAACCCCAAGCAGAATCGGCCATCCTGCAAGCAGGCCATGCCCTCCTGTACCTGAACAAGCTGTGCAGCACAGGTCCCTGTCATTTCAACCAGATGAATTACTCCACTAGCTAAAACCTTTATTAAGGGACTCGGAGAGGTGGAGGCGGGGAACCCTTTGGAAGCCGTTACTGTTTGGAAGGGAACGGAGCTGCTCCGAAGGGATCTAACTCCAGCGGCTGCTGCTGCTGGCTCTGTGCACTCTGCACCACCAGCTCCGTGAAGGGC